ACTCAACCTCCGATCGCGGCGCCAAAAAGGGCTTTTTGTGTATTCGTATTATACGTCTCCGCTACCATTTGAATGTGTGCTCATGTATACGAAACTCCGGGTGTATATAATACGATATCGCCTTTGCCACGAATGGTGTCAGCCTCGCCCTCGTGGTTGCTGCAGTTCGTGAAGAAAACATCACTAAATGAGGAAGTAACAGCCTGAGTACGTGTCAGCTGAGTAAGTGAAAGAGAGAGTCAATGAGGCGAATAGGTGACTTGATAGTGAGTGACTCAGGTGAGCGTCATGAGATAGTGTTGTATGAGAGTTAGTGGGTGAGTGATTTAAGTAACTTGGGTGACCTTAAATGGGTGATCCAAGTGAGTGATGTCAGACGCTGTGATATTAGAGTGAGTGGGTGAGTGATCGGAGTAACTTGCGTGAGCTTAGTGAGTGATTCAATTGAGTGACGTGAGATAGTTTGATATGAGAGTGAGTGAGTGACTTAAGCAACTTGGGTGAGCCTGGTGAGTGATTCAAGTGAGTGACGTGAGATAGTGTGATATGAGAGTGAGAGATTTCAGTAACTTGGGTGAGCTTGGTAAGTGATTCAAGAGAGTGACGTGAGATAGTATGATATGAGAGTGAGTGATTTCAGCAACTTGGTTGAGCTTGGTAAGTGATTCAAGTGAGTGTCGTTAGATAGTGTGATATAGTAGTGAGTAAGTGAGTGAGTGACCGGCTAGTCAAAGAGATTAGTTCAGCGGGTTGAGTCCAGTCAGCGCTTGAGTCAGTAGTATTTTAGTTTCTAGTTTGTGTGCCTGAACTACAGATAAACGTAGTCCTCAAAAGCCTGTTCGCATGAACTACTAAGTTTTCGTACGTTCATAGGCCAAAGATACGGAGTTATGACCTTACACTTTTTGCTGTGAACGTGATATCATGTGCGCAACAACGCAAGAATAAAACACGGACTCCTTAACACGTTCACAGTACATTATTTTCTTCGTTGCAAAGCAGTAAACTGCCCCTACCGTTATATGTCTACCCATTTATTAAGTCTACTACATCGCCTCAGTAGTCCTTTGCAGCAACTGGCTCATTGTACGAGGAAAAAAAGACTGATTTGTTATACGTTACACCGACCAGACGACACGTCTGCAAAAAGTCCAAGGCAAGACGTCTCGTCTCCAAGAAGTCAATAGACGATACATTACTGCATAAATACATTTTTATAAGGACTTCAGGCCTACTGTGGGTGCCCCTTAAGCGCACATCACACCTCTACTTTCCGAATGGGTTTTGTATGCTTTTTGTTGTTGTTTTTGCTGTTCTATAGAAGCAAAGGCAATGGCAGTAGGCCGCAAGACATTATAGACGCTCCTATACCGATTTGTGTTAGACACTTTTTTTTTCAACAAATACGTGAAATGGAAGTCCTACGATACAGTAAGACCTTGCACAAACGTTTTTTGAAATACTACCACGCACCGAATTTTTTTTTTTTTTCACTTTTGTGCGTTCGTTCCCTGCTACAGCCGTGTAGTAAAGAAAAAAGGAAGTTGTGAAAGAAATTCCGAACGCCTTTTTCCTGTGTCCTTGGTTCAGTTGCACTACGGGTAATACACAGCTGAAAAAAAGAGAGAAAAAAATATAGGGTATTTTTTTTAATTTGCCTAAAACGACTTAAAGGCAAAAAGCCATCTTTGTCTGCTTGTTGTTAGTTGTTTTTTTGCTTTTTCTGTTGATTTGCTACACTCGCAGTCCCCCTCTTAAAAGTTTCTCACCTAACGTTGTTTATGCACCGCCTTCAAGATCGGAGGAATTACAAGCATTCTGCGCCTACCTGGTTTTGCATTGCCTCCGTGATCGGCCCACCAAACGGCAATATAATGTCATTAAGTCGTGTTACTTCATGGCACAAAATATAATCACGCGATGATGTCACCGCGTGACGTCATTAGCGTGATGATTTTGTGCATCACTCCCGTCAACGCCACCAACGCCGGCGGTCAATTTTAACGTCTGATGACGCAACAGATGTCCTCAGCCACGTGATGACGTCATGCGGTGACGTCATCATGACGCTGCAGATCCTAAAGTGTGGTGAGGTCAGCATGAAGCTACAGATGACGTCAGTACACGATATCGTCGCTTGGTCAAACGGGGGCCGATCACGATGAAGGCTTCTAAGACTCTCTCGTCTTAAAAATGAACGCGCAATTTTTCTTGAGGCTCGAGTTCAAGGCGGCAGACTTCTATGAGGACTCGCTCCATCGAACCCGTACACGTACGGCATTCCGATGTTTCACCGTGCGAAGTCCACGGACGACTTATCACCTCTCCACGCGTGATAGCGCCAGGGGCTTTCCAGTAGAGAAAAAAAAAATCGTAGTCCGGGAATCAAGAAGCAGACTTAACACGCAGCAAAGACAGCTGCTCGGACAGATCTTCCGGCAAGCCGAGCAGAACGGTGCGACGAAGAGGCGAGAGATAATATGCTAAGTCGCGGATATGA